AGAGAGAGAGAGAGAGAGAGAGAGAAGGGGGAGGAAAGTAGAGAGAAGTCTCAAGAGGAAGAGATCTCTCTTATTTCTAAGGTAGTCGGTTTTTCTTTCGTTTCGGTACGAAACAGACCGAGCACGTATCTCGTTAGCGAATCATTAGCAACTCTTCTCGTACTGCAACTACTGTCGCAACGAATGCTCGCGGCTTGTTCTACTCTCCTCTCTCCTCTCGTCGTCTTCTTTCGCTTTCTTGTCCCATTTCGAGACAATTTCCTATCCTAGATCTTTCATACTTTCTGCTACGTATATTTGACGATCGTTCTTTTCACTATACGATATCCAAGACGATATTATTTATTACAACGACTGTGTACATACAACACGTTTGTTTACGCATAGAAGCGATGGGTAACGATCGGAGATGGGAGACTCTATTCCGACCTTACTCCTCTTCTATTCAAAGCTCGATGGTCTTGGCTGTCGTTGCGCTCTTGTTCGAGCCGCATCTCCAACTCTCCTCTCCGCCCATTGAACGCCTTTGGCAAAGCGTAAGGTCGATCTCGCGGCAAACAACCAGACGATAACTCAGCGCTGACATTGCCACCGACTACCGATACCTGCAACTCTTATCGCGTACGCGACCGCCGCAGGTGTTGTCTATTCAGGAACTAAAAGACCGTCTTTAGTTCTTCTTCTTCTTTTTCTTCTTTTTCTTCTTCTTATCTGTATTGCTAGTTCATTCGTCCTCCGACTTCACCGTGATTATCCGCGCCTTTACACGCTGAATGCATTTCGATCCTCGAAATCGGTTTCTAAGGTTCTTTTAAGTTGGCAGCAAGAGGAGGCATAACGGAGGCAACGCGCAGCGACAAACATCGAGCAGAGTCAAGAACGAATATTCGAATTTATAGGAGCGACGATCGGCTCTTGGCAAATAGAATAAATTTGCAAAGTCTCGGCATTAGAGCGAGACGATTTTACCTTTACGGAGAGAAGCCGCATAATACGATGCCGGCTGAGGCGGGTAGAGGGAAAGTTCGAGAACGGATCGAATGAAATTTGAATAAAAATACCGTCTTCCCTCGGATGGGTTCGCCGAGGGGGCAAAATAAAGCACGGTCTTAGCCCCCCAGGGGTCAGTCGACTCGATTCCGTCGAGGACGACGCATCGTATAATAGCTAGATTTTCCAATAGGCGGCACTAGCTTCCGGATCACGTATTTTCTTTCTCGCGTCGCTATTCCTCCGACTATGTGTCTCTCCTCTTGACCACAATACTCGAAAACGCGTTCTCAGCTATTTTTTTTTTTTTTTTTTTTTTTTATCGATTCTCCTCGTCAGAGTCGTGTCCTGTCGCTTCTACAATCTCCTCCTTCTTTCCTTCTCTTCCTCTCTTTCTCTCGATTATTTCAACGTTCACGAGGATGTCAATTCTATGACACATAGCTAATAGTTAATCCATAGCTTTGATCTTTGTCCTTCAGTTAAGTTTTGCTTAGTGTTTTAATCAAAGTCCACACTTCGGATAATGTTCTCCAACAAGGAAGCTTTGACATTGTTTCAAGTTTTTGTTTCTGTCCGTTTTCTGTTTCCAGGTTAAACCAGTTAATCTGACTGCAAATAAAAATAATGGGAAATTTACGGATAAACTTGGAGAGTGTAACTCGCAACGGAATCTAGGATTTCCAGATTAAAGTATCCGATCATCTTCCGGTTAATTTAGTGAGCAAAGTTGGTAAAACGCTGTTGTCGAATCGTTCGTTATAGCTGTTCCTATGGGTACACGCAGAGAGCAGAGAGCCAACCGTGAGACTATAAATTGTTACCGGTTAGGCAAGAAGAAGAATGGAGACTTTAAAGAGCCTTTAGCTATCGTTGGATATTCTCAAAGATTTACGAAACCTGGAACGATCCCCGGGCTGAATATAGGGTGATAGTAAACTCGCAAATTTCTTTCTCTCCTCTCTTTTTTCACCCTCCCCCCTCTCCTTTCTACCTAGTTTTGCAACTTGGTTTGCCTTCCTTTGCCTCTCGCTACCCTTATCATCTTCGTTTTTTTCTTCTCCTTTTCACTTCGCTACTTTCTCTTGCCTGCCTCGTCGCTGTTTCTCCCTGAGAAGAAACCCGCCTCTCGCGGGAAACTCTTTAGCTCTCGATATTAAGCCAAGCGATTTCACGCAAACGACGGATCGCATTTTCTCAGCTTTCGTATTTCCCCGTCGCGGTACGCAAATCAAATTCCCCAGAGGATTTCCCTCCCACCCAAACTTTGCTCCTGTTCTTTAGGAGGGTGTCGAGTCGCGTATCTCGCGCAAACTACAC